GGTTCAGGTTTCTGGGGGATTTGGTATTATGACCAAGCCCCATTCAGAGCCGAGACTCGTCACGTCTTCGAAGCCCTCGGATGTTGTCATGTGGATGTAGGGGCGCACCTGTGGCTTTATACTAGGATGCCCAGTACTACCCTTTTTCCCTTCTTTGGGGGTGTAGGTTCCCTGATAAACCCCTTTAAAGAAGGGCACCCTTTTTAATCCTAGGATACTGGGCAACCTAGTATATGGATTGAGGTCCTTAAGATGCTTCAGGGGCCTTTTGTTTAAAGGATTGAAGACCTTTTGTCTGAATGACGTGTGGATTCGTTCACTGGATTTTGCAGCGGCAAGAAAGCTGCACAGCCATTTGTGCGGGTGAAGCAAGGGGCCTGAGGCAATGGACCATCTTCAGCCCTCAACCCTCAATGGGGGGTTTTTCCTAACTGAGGGGCATCCTACTATTTTGGGGTCTATTTTGGGGCTCCCTTATCTTCGTAAACTCCCCAAATCCTAAACCTGGCACTCACGTTTGTGGCAACTCGCCACAAGAGTCCGAACAACTCTAAGGACTCCGGAGCTTGTTGTATCAGATGTGGCTTGAGGGTTTTGCTTTATTAGGGGCCTAAACCCTAAACCCCAAGCCCTAAACCCTAAACCCTAAACCGTCCTGGACGTTTATAGAAGGCTGGCGGCAGCACTAAGGGCTGATCTCTCTCCGAAGAGCCTAATACGAATACGCCCTTGAATATGGAAGACACCCTTAACTTATACTAGGGCGTAGCGTTTAACCCTAAACCCTGAGCCCTAAACCCTAAGCCCTGAGCCCTAAGCCCTAAGCCCTAAACCCTAAGCCCTAACGCGGGGTTCTCACACGAATTGAGGTGTATGTCTTTGACTAAAGGGTACTGGAGTCTCACGTCTTGCACGAGCCCGAGCCCAAAGCAAGGGAGCTCCCCCCCAAAGTCCTTATGCTTCATATGGCATATGTATATGGTCAGTTCTCAATGTTTGTCCCTTTTTGGGTACCCTAACTAAGAGGGGCTGCGTGATAAAAGTTACCCCAAAAGGGACCATAGTTTGGAGAAGTGACCATATAGTATCTAGTATACTGTGTACTTCTTCTGTTAATAAAATGCCGTGCCAGAGCAGACGACTATTGTTCTGTATATGCAGTAGCACACTATTTTGTGATTGTTCTATGGTATGGTTGTTTAATACCTTTATCATTGTCATCACTAATATTTCTACAACACATGTTTGCTTATACAGACAGAAATATTTTCATATATATATATATCGAGAGAGAGATATGTATATAATATATATATATATATATAAGTATACATGTATATTATTTTGTCCATAATACGGGGCCGGCCTATGGCTCGGAACCGACTGAAGCTTCCAGCCGTGCAGAGGCCCTCGTCAGCGTCGCCAAGGTGAAGGCCTCCAATCGGTCGGTTTTTGTAGTCGGGTTTAGGGTTTAGGGTTTGGGGTTTAGGGTTTGGGGTTTAGGGTTTAGGGTTTAGGGCTAAAACTCTAAACCATAAACCCTCAACCCTACACCCCCGAACGGAAATGACACGATATCAGCCCTATGCGGAGAAGCAAGCGGAACTCACGAGGCTTCTGCTACTGGTTCTCGCGTACCACCTGCGCACTCGCACATCGAAGCCTCCAGAGGAATTGCATTTCACTTGTTCACATCCGAATCGGACCCGAAGGAATATTGAAGCACAGTTTATTGTTGGCACAGGCACAACCGCCAGTGTTTCGCAGAAGTTATTTGTTTGTAGCAAGCTGTGCTGAGCTTTTGACAGTGCAGCTCCTTTTGCGTATCGTGCGCTGGGTGTAAGAGACCTGGGACGTCAGAATCTTCACCGAAGACCTGGCAACAGCCGACTCCCTAGACACTACCCTCACGTTTTGGTGCTAGGATTTAAGTGAGAGGCTGTTGCCGGGACCGGTTTTGGGTATCAGGGCTTGAGGTAACCCTAAGGGTCCATGTACATCATTCTTCTATACCTGGGCCCCAAAGTCCCTAAATAGGAAGTACTTTAAGGCCCAAGTACTCCCCTACTTAGGTACATGAACCCTCAGGGGAAGAAGGATGTGCCCCGAGTCCGATACGGGCGCTCGGCCGCCGTAGTCCCTACAGCACGATGTGACGTAGGGTTTATATATATATATATATATACATTTTTTTTTACTGTTATTGGTGAGTGTGTATAAGGTTCCTTTTTTAAAGTTGGTGAGTGTATATGCTGAGTGTCCTTTTGCGGATACAGGAAATATAAACCTACATTCCTACATCATGTCGCTCCCTGCAGCGCGGGCGCCGGATCTCCTGCCAGGCTTGGCAGTACCGTGTCGAGCTGGAGAAGGATGCACGTTTAGGGTTTAGGGTTTCGCGTTTAGGTTTTAGGGATTTTTAGGGTTCTTTACGGTTTAGGGTTTCGCGTTTAGGCCTTAGGGTTTTTTACGGTTTAGGGTTAAGGGCTACCCTTGCAGCCCCCCAAAAAAACCATTTTTTCCGTAAACCCCATGGCCTCTTGAAACCCTTCAGGTATTGAGAGGGCTAGAACTACTCTAAGCCCCAAGAAGGATCGTAGAGATGGGGTTGAGGGTTTTAGAGCTTTAGTGCTTCAGGGTTTGCTAACTTCTGGGGCTCAATGTGGAGAAGCCTCAGCAGAAAAAAACACCGCCTCTAAACTTACCCTAAGCTCCTAAACCTTTAAACCCTAAACCCTTACCCCGTATATTTCCTAAACTCCTAAATCTCAACCCACCCACCAACAAAGGAAAAGATGAACAAACAATCCATCTATATAATACTGATAGTAACAATAATCCTAATACCAACAATTCATAGTCACAATGGCAATCAGAATAGTCCGAACAATCAAAATAATCAAAACAATCAAAAGATCTTAATCGTCATAATCATCATCATAATATCAATACTGATAATGACAATATAAACGTAGATATCAACAGCATCGTAACACCCTAAACCGCTACATACCCTAAATACTCAACTTTAGTGACCTCAAACCCTAAACCCCTAAACCCTAAACCCCTAAACCCCTAAACCCCTAAACCCCTAAACCCCTAAACCCTAAACCCTAAACCCTAAACCTCTAACTACCCTAAACCCTAAACCCTAAACCCCTACAACTCCTCAACCCCCTAAACGACGCCCGAAGGACGGCCGCTGGCACCTCGTCCATGCAGCTGAACACGCCAACAAGGCACAGCAAGGTCTTCCAAGTTACTAGGGTTTAGGGTTTAGGGTTTAGGGTTTAGGGCTACTAAGTTATTTGCAGGCTTCGGCTCATGGGGTGAAGGGCTCAGGGTGTTTGGTTGACTCTGCTTTCGGGCTTACACCCTTGAGGCTTTGCTGGTTCTGGGTGTCAGAGCTTTAGCAGGACTCTGACCATTACTCCTTGGCACTATTGCAAGCCTCTTGGAGCTAAACCCTAAACCCTAAACCCTAAACCCTAAACCCTAAACCCTAAACCCTAAACCCCTAAACCCCTAAATCCTAAACCCTAAACCCTAAACCCTAAACCTACACCCTAAAAGGGCAGCCATGAAGCTTGTTGAACGGAGGGGGATTCCGTTTTGGGAGCGCTACGAATCTGAGTCGTACGGCCCCCTTGGGATAGGTTTATATTTACCCTAAACCCTGACCCCTAACCCCTAAACCCTTCCCTTATTGGCTTTAGGGGCCATCCTGGTACAAGATGGGCCGACTCTGACCGTGGTGTCGACAGTTTAGGGTTTAAGGTCCAGGGTTTAGGGTTTTAAAGCAAGGCAGCCAGACAGAGACATGCACCAGCAAGGGCCTGAACAAAGGCTACCAAGGGGAAGGATGGCTTCTTCATTCCCTAAAATCTAAACCCGAAGCCCTAAATCCCTAAACCCTAAACCCTAAACCCTAGACCCTAAACCCTAAACCCCATCGTGCCCTTGCACCCTTGCAGCAACCTGAGCCTTACAAGCCCTCAACCAACATACGCAACCAACCTTGCCACCCCCCGATCTACTCTGAGGTCCGGGGTACTTAGAGCCTACTTCCAGGTTTAGGGATCGACTTCGGGATTTAGGGTTTAGGGTTTAGGGTTTAGGGTTTGGGGTTTAGGATTCCAATCTCTGGTTATTCCCCCCCCCCCCCCGCCCTCGCCCTCCCTTCCCACTCTCGAGTGCTTGGAGTCTAGTAGCCTGGGCTTGGGGCTTAGGGCTTAGGGCTTAGGGCTTAGGGTTTAGGGTTTAGGGTTTAGGGTTTAGGGTTTAGGGTTTAGGGTTTAGGGTTTAGGGTTTAGGGTTTAGGGTTCTCGAGTGCTTGGAGTCTAGTAGCCTGGGCTTGGGGCATCGGGTTGAGGGCTACTCCAGCTCAAACATCACCCTGGAAGTCCAGGTATCCTTAACCGGAATTGTCTAGGGCTTTTACCTTGAGTTCTACAAACCTCTTAGACCCCAGTGGCCCTAAACCCTAAACCCTAAACCCTAAACCCTAAACCCTAAACCCTAAACCCTAAACCCTATTAGGCCCTTGTGCCCCAACCTCCTTTTCTTCAGGTCCTTGGCCCCACCTCGATTGTACTGCGCCATGGTGTCTGGCTCCAGTTACGTGGGGGTCATTTAGGTTTAGGGTTTAGGGTTTAGGGTTTAGGGTTTAGGGTTTAGGGTCTACAATTTGCTTAAGATCCCCCCCCCGAAATAAGCAAAACATTCTTCCCTATAAGGGCCATATAGGGATTATTTTCTCATTTCTTTTTTTTTTTTTTTGGGGGGGGGGGGGCCTCTTTTAAAAAAACATTAAGGAAGGGCAATATAGGGACTCTTATCTCATATTTTGTGGGGGGGGGGGGGCCCTTAAGCACATAGTAGAACCCTAAACCCTAAACCCTAAATCCTAAACCCTAAACCCCAAAAGTTCTTTAGAGATGGAGGCATGGCCGTGCAAGATGACGTTTGGAACCCTGCACCTCTGGGAGCAGGTCCTGTGGATGCTGGATCCTGTGTGCATTGCGGTGACAAGCTTCACCAGCAGGTTCGTGCTTTTAGGGCTTAGGGTTTTAGGGTTTGGGGTTTAGGGTTTAGGGTGTAGGGTTTAGGGTTTAGGGTTTAGGGCCGTGACAAGCTTCGCCAGCAGGTTTGTGCGGGCTTCCTGCGTCGCACCTAGTGGCCTGCTGAGGGTACCACGGCTGATCATCGACTACGGCGTTTTCGTGCCTCCTTCTGTGGAACTTGATCCCCTGCGGGTAGTCGAATGTCTGCCATGTATCGAGAGGGGTGAGGTTGTTGAAATCGAGCTCTATGCTGCCTGTGGTGGGGCCGATGAGGACAACGACCCGGAATTGGACAGACAGAGGCAGAACCACTACAACGTCCCTTGGCGTTAGGGTTTAGGGTTTAGGGTCATTTCTTTAGACTGGCCCTGCCGCCTGGGTTACACACATGGTTACACCGACCCTCCACCCTTTCGCACCATTAAGAGGGCATTTAGTCCTGATAGTGCCGTGAATCCCCAAGAGGTCACATGAAGAGGACCCCGCCCTAGACAATGAACCCTACAAACCTTGAACCCTGCCTTAAGAACCCAAGACCTGCTTGTTGTTGGCTATCACAAAAAGCCTTGTAGAGTTTTAGGCAACCTACAAGAAAAATGTAGGTGCCGGGATTCTCAAGGTCACACTACACCCGAAACCCTGAACCCTAACCCTAAACCTTACAGAACGCAATGAACAAGATTCCTCAAGAACCCTAAAGCTAGCTGTGTGTATTCTTAAGGTCATACTAAACCCGAAACCGTGAACCCCAAACCCTCAACCCTGCACCCGAACCCATTGAACAGGATTCCTAAAGAACCCTGAACCCTAAACCCAAAACCGCAGACCCTCAACCCCAAACCCTAAACCCTAAACCCTAAACCCTAAACCCTAAACCCTAAACCCTAAACCCAGGTGTGTGTCGGCTGGCTCCTGGGCAACTTTGGGAAGCTGCGAAGGCTCATGATCGGCGGCGGTGGCGACCGAAGGCACCATGCACAGCAAACGAACACCAGTTTTGGGGCCATGCTAGGGTTTAGGGTTTAGGGTTTAGGGTTTAGGGTTTAGGGTTTAGGGTTTAGGGTTTAGGGTTATAATCAATAAGCCCTAGTCCCTGAACCCTGAACTCCTTTCGGGTTCATGTACTCAGCCCAGGCTGTGGGTGCCGATCATACGGCACGTGGCACGGCAAAGCCCTGCACTGGTGAGTTTAGAGCCGCTTGGCCTCAAGAGGGCCCACAGGACCCTAAACCCTAATCTAAGGGCCCATGTACCTTTTTTTTCAATACTTTATAGCAAGTACTTTAAGGCCCAAGTAGTCCCTATTTAGGTACATGGGCCCTTAGAGCTAAGTTATCAGTCCTAAACCAGGAGTTGACGTTTTGGGGTTTTTGGGCTTAGGTATTGGGGCTTGCGGGGCCTTTGTCGAGCTCAAGTGGGTCGGGGTATTTGGTGTTCACCCTAGAACCTAAAAACTAACCAGCTTGTTTGGAGCTAGGCAATTGACTTGAGTTTTAAACTGTAGGCCTAAACTCTACCCTGAGGGTTCATGTACCTAAATAGGGAATACTTGGGCCTTAAAGTACTTCCCTATATAGGGACTTTGGGGCCAAAGTATATCATAATGAGGTACATGGACTCTTAGGGTTTAGGGTTTAGGGTTTAGGGTTTAGGGAATACTTTAGGGCCTGAGACGGAGAGGGGTGGGGTTCAAAGTGTTAGATGGACCTCCACAATCGGGCCGTGCCTCTTCGCAGTTCATGAAGATTCACAGCTTCTGCGCTATGTCACGACCAACCCTCAACCCTAAACCCCGAACCCTAAACCCTAAACCCTAAACCCTAAACCCTACATCTTCAACAGTGGAAACTCTGATGTGGCAGGCTGCAGGCTTGGCCCTCGCCCAATCAGCAGACCTGGCCGGAGGAAACAGCAACTTGGGGGCAGTGCCTACCAAGGGGCCTAGGGGTTTAGGGTTGAAGGTTTGGGGTTTCGAGTTCAGGGTTCAGCGCTTTTTTGGGGGGGACATTTTGGGGCATAGTCTAAACGGCAATTTTTTAACATGAATTCTAGCCCCTGATTCCATCGCAACTTGCACAAAAAACCGAGCATGTCGGTTTCTCAAGTCTTCGAATCCTAAACCCGAAGCCCCTAAAGCCGAAAAACTTAACCTAAACCCTCAGCCCTAAGCCCTATACCGCAGGTTAAGGTGCTGCCCTCTCTGAAGCTGCTACGGAGGCTGCATATTGCCCCTTGGTAACCGAGTTGGTACTCCTTTTCCTTTTTTGTTTGGGTTCAAGGCTCCCGCATCAAGAGTAGTTTAGGGTTTAGGCTTTAGGGTTTAGGGTTTAGGGGTTTAGGGTTTAGGGTTTAGGGGTTTAGGGTTTAGGGTTTAGGGTTTAGGGTTTAGGGCCTTAGAAAGGGTAGCCTTGTTCTACTATAGCTACTGGGCTAGCAGCCACCAAGGCCCTGAACAGTACAGCGGATCCAGCCGGCACTTCGATCTTGGACACGCTGGCGAAGTGTGCGGGATGCCTCCCAGCCTTGAGAAGCCTCAGCTTCGACGTTCACGCGCAGAAGCCCGTGCCTCTTTTCTACTAGTTGCTTAAGAACCCCCAAGAAACTCAATACTTTTCCTCCTTAAAAGGGCAATACACGGAGTCTCATTCGATTTTTGGGGGGGTTCTGAAGCAAACAGTGGGTAGTTCTGAGTGGGTAACTTGCAGTTTGGGTTTGGGCCACGAACAGCCCTGGTGTTAAGCCTACTTCTAGCATTCCCGAGTTTCACCCTGCATTTAGCTACTGTACCCTTAAACCTGGGGTAGCCACATTGCTGAACATGGCGAAGCTGTAGAGAGAACAGCTGCCTGTCACCACCACAAACAGTCCCGAACGCCCCACAGTCCTAAAGTCCTAAATGGTCACTCGGTCACTTCTCTAAGTTGTGGTCCCTTTTGGGGTATCTCTCTGACATTTTATTGTACCCCAAAAATAGGGTTCTTAGGGCTTAGGACCCCAATTTTGGGAACCGCCGCACATGACCAAGGTGCAAGAAGCCTTCAGGGCTTCTCTGCAGCGGTGCATGAACTCATTCCCGCTTCGGCACCTGTCCCTCCAGGCCGTTTCCTTGTCATCTTGGGGGGAGGGGGGGGGGGGGGTAACATTTTGCATTTTTAAGGGTACCTAAGTACTTAAAATTCAATGAACCCTAAACCCTAAACCCTAAACCCTAAACCCTAAACCCTAAACCCTAAACCCTAAACCCTAAAACCCTAACCGAGGTTTCCTCATCAGCATCCGAAGTGCTCTCTGGCATAGTGCCGCACATGACCTGGCCGTCGAACTGCTGCATGCTCTCCCTGCACCACCTGTCCCTATACCCCCCTTTGGGAATCTTCTTTTTTATTTTTGTTTATATAAAACCCAAGAGGGTATTATTTTATTTGTAGTAAGGTTTAGGGTTTAGGGTTTAGGGTTTAGGGTTTGGGGTTTAGGGTTTAGGGTTTGGGGTTTGGGGTTCTAAGGGGGAGTCCAGGTCCAACAGTTCTTCCCTGTCTGCGCTGGCCAAGCAAGTTGCCCGGGATGCCATCACGGGCTTGACTCTCTGTATCCTTCACTCGGAGAACGTGGCTAGGTAGACCCTTTTGGGATAGTTTAGGGTTTAGGGTTTAGGGTTTAGGGCTCATGTTTTCCCTGACCGGGCTTCAGAGGATCCTATTTGAGGGTTTACGAACATTGGGGACCCCTAAAATAGACCCCGAATAGTAGCATTCCCGTATGATAGGGACCCAATAAGGTACCCTGATTTCGGAAACCCCCACGTAGGAAACCCTAAACCCTAAACCCTAAACCTAAAACTTTAAACCCTAAACCCTAAACCCTAAACCCTAGGTTTCAAGGGCCCGCCCAGGTGACGAGCGCGCAGATGCTGAACTTTCTGGCAGGCCTCAAAGGATCGCAACTGAAGTCGCTGGCGTTGGACTTCCAGCTCCCCGGTAGGGTTTAGGGTTTAGGGTTTAGGGTTTAGGGTTTAGGGTTTAGGGTTTAGGGTTTAGGGTTTAGGGTCTTCCAGCTCCTCGGTAGGGTTTCCGAGGTAGGGCCTTGGGATATTTTGTATTTTCCCTCTATTGATTGGGTTCAAGAGGATTATTTTCAGGCATATTTTCTGAGGGTTTTAAGGGCCATCCTAGTTTTGGGATAGTGCGTTCTCGATTCATTCGGGTTCAAAGCGGGTCCAGGTTCTTCAAGGTGTTTGCAGGGGGCTTCGGCTGCTTAAACTGTCTTGCTGCGACCCTAAGCCCTCAACTCCCTAAACTTACCCTAAACCCTAAACCCCAAACCCTAAACCCTAAACCCTAAACCCTAAACCCTAAACTTACCCTAAACCCTAAACCCCAAACCCTAAACCCTAAAAAGTGGGGCCCTCCCAGGCTCGCACCGATGCTTGAGGAGGGGGATGCTCTGCTGGCCGATCGCTTCACTCAGAGCCTGCTCGCACTGCTCGGCAACCAATCGCTGAGACACCTGGCCCTTGAGGGAAGTTTTTCCCAAAACTTGCGTCTACCCTAAACCCTAAACCCTAAACCCTAAACCCTAAACCCTAAACCCCGAAACTTGCGTCTTCCCTTCTTGGGTTCAAGAGGATCATAGTTAGCGGACCTCTTTTCACAGAGGGTTTCATAGAACCCTAAACCCTAAGCCCTAAACCCTAAACCCTAAACCCTAAACCCTAAACCCTAGAAGGGCCATCCTAGGACATCTCACCCTGGGCACAGCAGCTTGCACCGAGAGCCTGGGATGCCCTCATGCGGTTTAGGGTTGAGGGTTTAGGGTTTAGGGTTTAGGGTTTAGGGTTCAGGGTTTAGGGTTTAGGGTTGCAGTTACCCTCGTCTCCGCTTTCTTCTTGGGGGCGGCGATCCCTTTCAAAGCTATTGCGAAACCCTACAATATTGTACCCTAGACCCTAAACCCTGAACCCTAAACCCCAAAACCCTAAACCCTAAACCCCAAACCCTAAACCCTATAAACCCTAAACCCCAAAACCCTAAACCCTTCTCCACGGAACCCAGGTGCAGCCTGGACACCTTGAAGCAGTCCGCTGTGCAGCACAAAGTCTGCCTCCGAACGTCAGCTCTGCTTGAAGTGCTGCCGCTCTGCTCCAACTGCGGCTGCTGAAAAAAAAAGTCTAGGGTTTAGGGTTTAGGTTTAGGTTTTAGGGTTTAGGGTTTAGGGTTTAGGGTTTAGGGTTTAGGGATTCCCATCTTGGCTTTTTCTCCTGTGGGACCTTTCATGACCGTTTCAACTCTTCTGACAGCTTTAGCAAACTTTCCCCAGGGCCCAAGCGAAGACGTCTAGGCAACCCCCTGCTGCAGGGTTTAGGGTTTAGGGTTTAGGGTTTAGGGTTTAGGGTTTAGGGTTTAGGGTTTAGGGTTTAGGGTTTAGGGTTTAGGGTTAGCATGAAGGGGCGCAACATCTACAAAGGGCAAAGGGGTACTACGTACAGGGCTAAAGTGCAGAACAGAACATGGTGCGGTTTGTATGGTTAAGTCGGCTGCTGCACAAACAAGCCCGAAAGCCTACAGACAGTGGCTCTTTTCGCTCTTCTACTGAAATTGCTGGAAGGCTCAACAAATGCTTCGCCTCTTGACGGCTTTCTCATGGGGGAGAGTATATACCAGCCATCAAAATAACTACAGTTGGCTATAGCACTGACATCCAAGAATCCTAATCGTCCCAATAACCATACACCCGACACCCGCAATAACACTTTCAAGCGCAGTAGCCCTAGCAATTGGCAATTAACTCCACTAGCCCTCGTAGCCCTAGCCAGTAACAATAACCCTAATAAGCCCAATACCTAAACCCTAAACTAGCTCTGCTGCCAAAACCCACGGGAGTCCCCTGTTCGGGGCTTTCGTTCTTTCTCCCGCAGTTTGGGATGGAAGGTTGAGCCTCCCAAACCTCTGGCCGCAAGCCCCAAACTTCAAGCTCCTAAACCCAAAACCCTTAAGGGTGCATAGGATTCAGGGCTGGAGGCTTAAACTTCCTCTAGCCCCTACATATGGAAACCCCACGTCTGAGCATGAGTCCCCCGGCCTTGGGGCAGCCTTGGGGTTGAGGTACTTGGATGTTCATGGTACTCATTAATCCCTTCCCCCTAACAAGGGTTTAGGGTTTAGGCCCCCCCTTTCTCTCCAAATCTCACGTTTGGGGTCCAAAGGGTATTTAGGGTGCAGGCTTCAGGCTTTGGAGGGTTTAAGTAAAGCCCTGAACCCCCCCCCCCCCCCCCCCCCCCCCCCCCCCCCCGCAATTCGGAATAGGGTTTCAAAGGCGGGGTCGGTTTCGGCAGGATTTTCCGGAAAGTGTGTGTGTTGTGTGTGGTGTGTTTTTTTTTTGTGGGGGGGGGGGGGGGGGGGGGCGTTTAATAAAAGGGGGAAGGGGTTAACCGTTAACTGTACTTTTCACCCACTTATAAGTTAGTGTGGGTTTAGGGTCTAGAGGGTGTAGGGTGTAGGGTGGGTTTAGGGTTAGGGTGTGGGGTGGAGAAATCAATTATTAGCAGGGGCCTAGGGCTTAATTTGCATAGACTAGAGTTTGGGCTTGCCCCCCCCCCCCCCTCCCCCCCCCCCCTCCCCCCCCCCTCCCCCCCCCCCTCCCCCCCCCCCCCACCCCCCCCCCCTCCCCCCCCTCCCCCCCCCCCCCCCCCCCCTCCCCTCCCCCCCCCCCCTTCCATCCCCCTTCCCCTTCCCCCTCCCCTACCAACTTCTGGAACCAAAAGCAGATCGACAATGGCACACAAGAGAGAATCAATATAAGCCAGTTCCTGTCTTCCCTATGAGAACTTTACATGAGATTCCCTGAATACGAAGATATGGCATCCCCAACTACAGTCTGCTCGGGAAGGCTGGGCAAGGATTTGGAGGCTTGCAAATTGGAGGGAAAATGCAACTCGGGTTGACTAGAAAGTCACCATCCATCCTGGCCCCAGGGTTCATTACTCCGAGGCAGTCGGTACGCCTTGGCCTCAGCCACCTGCGAACAGCAGTAGCAAATGGTTCACCGAACAGCTGGCCAAGTTCCAGGCTCTCTTGGACCACCTCTACAGCACCGAAGCCAATTTAGGCGGCATCAGGATTGAAATGAGGTTTGGCATTGGAGCCCAGCAGCCTCAGACATGGCAGTGAAAGCCGCACGAATTATACGAACGAAGTGGAAACAACTGGACCACGCACTAATTCTATAGGAAACTCTGTGATGAATCCTGTCTTTTGGTCTTGTTTCACTACGTTCATTCCACCTTAACCACCATTAACCTCGTGACCGCACAGTTATTGACCAAAAGCCCCCACACCGCCGTCTCCAGTAGATTCACCATTAGTATTAGTACTGTCTCTACGTCTGGGATAATATGAATAATAGTGTGAACGGAGTGAACACGTGAGCGCAATATTATTAAATTACAAGTTCACGCGTGAATTTAATAATAGTGCGTGAACGATGTGAACGAAGTGTGCGGGCGCTCTTTGAAGAGCTGGAAGAGAAATCCGAGTCCACCACGCAACATGTGTGGGTCAAAGAAGTATCTCTTGAGGAGCTTTTCGGCCAGCTTTATGAAGTGCTGCAGAATGCCCAAGTCTCTGGCTTGTTTTTCTTCCCGAGGGATGCCATTGAGATGGCAGCACCATCGTACAAATTGTGTGATTGGGCCAGGTTGTGCCAGAACTTCGGCGTCGCCTGCAAGTACACAAGAGTGCCTGCAAAAGAGAAGTGGCTGGAGCAGCATGGGGCCCTCAAGGTGAGCATGAAAATTTGGGCAGGCGACCCGGGCCAGTACTCTGCGTCATGTGACAACGGCTCCTGCGACAACGGGGTGCTCGACGGGAGCCTGCCAACTTGTGTGCCACGACTCTTCCCGAGGACAGGGCCATCAATCAGCTCACGACAGCACGTGGGATGACAGCAGAAGAGTGCTATCCAACCTTCGGTCAGAGAGAAGTCCACAAGATAAAGTGGACCCAGATTGCTGTCTCCCTCAACAGACCCTGGGATGCTGGCTACTTGAAGATGATCTGCAAGAGAACAGGCTGGAGAAGAGCTTCAGGCAAAACTGTGAGGCAAGTGCCACATTTCACAACATCAGATCACAGAGGACAGGCCACTGGCAGGCTTGGCGCAGACCGAGCCTTGGCTACCGTGATTCTGCTTGCCGTAGGCAAAGAAGACAGTGTACGAATGCTTTGAGGAAAGAAAACATACCTTTTGGCTGTGAAACATGGAAACTCACTGGGGGTGTAAAGCTCTAGGTGCAAAACAGGCAAATGGCATGACAGCAATCCAGAAAGGGTGTGTGGGTGTTCTGCAGCACATGCTTGCAAGTGAGCCAAAAGAAATGCCAAAAGCCGGTGCATCCTCGGCCCGAAGCCAATGCACTTGAGCGGGAGTTGTCAGAAACTATAGAGCGAACCCCTCCTTTATTGGTCCTAGATGAGTGGAAACCCATCCCAAAGACCAAAAACTTCCCTTTCCTAGGATACTTAGGATACTTGTGGGCCCTAAACCCTAAAAACTAAACATCCTAAACCTTAAAACCCTAAACCCCTAACAACTAAACACCCTGAACCTCAAAATACCCTCAGCCCTACCCCCCCCCCCCCCCCCCCCCACAAAAAGAACTAAACTCTCGGGAGCCAGCGAGTTGCGCCAGGCCTAAACCCTAAGACCTAAAAACACTAAGCCTAAAAACCTTGAACCCTAAACCCCAAAAAGGCCCAAACAAAAACCCTAAGCCCCAGAAAGCCAGCGGAGTTGCGCCAGGCCGGCACCCTCTCCTGCTCCCTGCGGCAGCTGGTGCCCGACTCGAGCTGCGCTCCCAGATGGGGGGTTTTACGAACATAGGGGACGCCCTTTAGGGTTCAGGGTTCAGGGTTCAGGGTTTAGGGTTTAGGGTTTAGGGTTTGGGGTTTGGGGTTTAGGGTTTAGGGTTTAGGTTTTAGGGTTTAGGGACCCCCTGATATAGATCCCCAATAGTAGGATTCCCTTATACTGAGGACCCCAATAAGGTATCCCTACTCTCGGAAACCCCCATGTTGGGGCTTCAGGTTTTTTTTTGGGGAGGGGGGGGGGGGTTAGGGGTTTCGAGTTTAGGCGATTGGGGTGAGGGTTTAGGGGTTTAGGGCTTAGGGTTTGAGAGGTTTGGGGGTTTAGGTTCTCGGGCCTTGGCTTCGACAGTTTCGGGGCTCAGGGGCTGAAGGACCTTATAGATGCGAACGCATAATATGAGGATACCTCTTATGTTATGGATTGGGATGATCCCCCTTATGCTAACAGTCCCAAATAGGGATTATAGCACCCCCTATTCTAGTCCCTATTAAGGACTGCCAGTATAAGGGGAAACATCCCAAGTTATCGAGCTCATTTCAGAGCTATTTGGGTTCTCTGGGTAAGGCTTCGGGAGTTGAATGTTGAGGGTTTAGGAACTCCGCACGTGTGCGTAGCCCGAAGCTACCCAAATGCCTACAGCGAGCAACATGCACCCCTTAGTCTAAGGGTCGGGTAGTTGCATGGTCCTTACCCCTAAACCCTAAACCCTTAATATGGTCCCTTACCTGTTTTAAAGGGGTTTCGAAGAATGGGCCCTTCCTTGGGTTGGTAGGGTATATGCGGCGTATATAAGGGGTCGCCTTTTAAGGGCCCATACTAAAGGGGTTTAGGGTTTAGGGTTTAGGGTGACCATGTACTTACCCTTACTTGCAGGTTCAGGGCACTTATTAACCGATTTTACCGGGACTTATAACCCACGTGTAAGCCCCTAAGTGCCCTAATGTGGTTAGAAGTACAGTTACAAGTACAGTTACCCTAAACCCTAAACCCTAAACTCTAAACCCTAAACCCTAAACCCTAAATCCTTGAGTTATAATTGGTTAATAAGTAGCCTGTACCTACCCTTAGACATAGTGAAGGAATGCATCCTTTCTTAAAAGGTGTGGCGGATGCTCCAAAACCCTAGGCTTGCCCTAAACCCTTTCTTTTAAGGGAATTGCAGATTACTCGTGGGTTTTGGGTTTGGGTTTAGGTTTAGTTAGGGTTTGGGGTTTAGGGTTTCGGGTTTCGGGTTTGGGGTTTGAGCATGCTATGGCGCGAGTGAAATCCGTTACGTTCCATGGGATGGCTACACATCTCGTGAGCAGGAGGTCGCCAGTGATGGGCGCCAAGATACAAGGTTCACGTTGCATGCGCATGGCAAGCTCAAGATTGGTGCGAAGACCCCAGAGGACCAAGCCGATACCAGCTCCGAGGCGCAGATGCTGCAAGCAATTCAAAGGTGGTCCTCAGCATATGATCAGGCGAACTTGATTGATTATGGTGTAATGTGTGAGCTGTGACTTCTTTGCTTCTGTCGGTTCTCTCTCTCTCTCTCTCTCTTTCTCTCTCTCTTTATCTCTTTCTCTCTCTCTCTCTCTCTCTCTGCAGGGCGATGAGCTGCAAACAGTACCCTAAGCCCTAAACCCTAAACCCTAAACCCTCAACAGTGGCCTAAACCCAAGCCAAAGGCAGCAGTTCCGCTTTGGTTGGTATATCATAAACATCCGGAGAAGGGGCTCCTGTTGAGCCATATGCCATAGTTCCTATGAACCCTAAACCCGAAACCCGAACCTAAACCCTAACCCTAAACCCTACATTCCCCTGTGATTTGCTTAAGAACCCCCCCCCACCCCCAAACAATAAAAGCATTCTTCCTACATATCTTTGTCATAGTGGGGTAACATTTTAATTTCTAAGGGTACTTAAACTCAATAAGGAATAGGAATTTGAATTTTAAATACTAACCCAACCATGAACTCGATAAGGGCCATATAGGGACTATTATTCTTCATATTTTTGGTGGTTCTTAACTATAGGCAAAAGGTAGGATATGATCACATCACTGAAGTTTTGCGGCTTCCTCAGGCTACACCGTGCGCCTTCTTTGCCGGCGGTGGCGCATTGACCAAGTGTGGCAAGAGACGCGCCAGGCCGGACGTACTGGGTTGTACGGAAGATCGGGAATTCGGGTTTGTTGCGTTGGGGTTATTAAGGGCGTGCAAGTAACAAAGGTTTTAAGCTTGGGTGTGCCATTGTTACACCCTGTAGCCACAACACCCTAGAGTTCCCCCCTTCTGTTTGGGGGGGAGGGGGGTTGGTAGTTGCAGAATACAGTCATTCGTACTACCCGCAAATTGCATAGAACCAATGATGCCTGTATATATATATATATATATGGTTCAGCGTCGAGCGTCCTGGGCCCCCCCCCCCCCATGGTATCCCCCCCCCCAAGTCTACTCTACGGTCCCTAAACCCTAAACCCTAAACCCTAAACCCTAAACCCCTAAACCCTAAACCCTAAACCCTAAACCCTAAAACCTAAACCCTAACCCTAAACCCTAAACCTTAAGTCTTAAACCTTAAACCCTAAACCCTAAAACCCTGAACCCTAAACCCTAACCCTAAAACCAACCCCCAACCACACCACAGGGGGGGGGATCATCTTAGTACCCCATCCGCGGGGAAAACCCTAAACCCTAAACCCTAAAACCCTAAACCGTAAACCCTAAACCCTAAACCCTAAAACCCTAAAACCCTAAAACCCTAAACCCTAAACCCTAAACCGTAAACCCTAAACCCTAAAACCCTAAAACCCTAAAACCAACCCCCAACCACACCACAGGGGGAGGGGGGGGTACCATTGAGGGGGGGGGTAGGGGGGAGGGGGGGGGGGCCCGCCGGGGCTGAATCATATATACACATCCAATGAAATCCCCGCAACCCTAAACTGACACCTCATTCCTGCCACACCCGCTTGACTCCTAAACAACATCAGTCCTAAATAGGTAAAACACCGAATGCCCAATTTTGATCAAAGCCACTAAAACCCTAGCTCCCTACAAGCCCTTATAAACATCAACCATCCAGTTCGTAAATCCCTTCAAATAGCCAAAAGCCACCCCTCAAAGCCCGAACCCCTAAATCCTAAACTCTAAGCCCCCATGAAGCCTAAACCCTAAACCCGACAACTTTCCTTTACCCTCATTCCTCCACACCCACCATTGCGAGGAATTTCGTTTGCCGGCCTCGGGTGCTGAGCCGCTGCCCGAAAGGGTGGCTGGGGTTTAGGGCTTAGGGCTTCGGGCTTAGGGCTTGGGGCTTGGGGCTTAGGGCTTAGGGCTTAGGGCTAAGGGCTTACGGTTTAGGGTTTAGGGTTTAGGTCCTGACCCTGAACCCTATGCACCCCTCAACCTCGGATGCCCAGCAGTGCCCCCTATTTCTCTTTCTGAGGTCTAGGCTCCCTTATGAACAGAATTAGGCCAAAATGTGGTGCCCTAAAACCTAAACCCTAAACCCTAAACCCTAAGTCCTAAACCCTAAACCCTAAGCCCTAAGCCCTAAACCCTAAACCTTAAGCCCTAAACCCTAAACCCTAAGCCCTAAACCCTAAACCCTAAGCCCTAAGCCCTAAACCCTAGAAGCAATTCCTCAAGACAATCCCGGCTCTTGGGGCTTCATCGGCTTCTTGCTGAGGCTTTCGGGCCAGGTTCTTGTTTTCGTTTCAGGGCCAAGCGCGCGGAAGCCTCCAGAGTTTAGGGTTTAGGGTCTAATTAGGGTTTGGGGTTTAGGGTTTAGGGTTTGTGGTTTAGGGTTTGGGGTTCAGGGTTTAGGGTTTAGGGTTTGGGGTTTAGGGTTTAGCGACCGCGAAGCCTCACTCAACGTTGAACACGGCCCAATTTTCCCGAACCGCACATGCCAACTGCTGAAACCTGCGCCTCTTACTTGGAGGTTCATGGTACTTGTTAATCAATGATACCTGTACTTAGGGTTTTGGGGTTTAGGGTTTTACGGTTTTAGGGTTTTAGGGTTTTGGGGTTTTGGGGTTTTAGGGTTTTAGGGTTTTAGGGTTTAGGGTACTGTAACTGATAACTGTACTTATATCTATATATATATATGTATTTATTGTTTTGTATTTACATTTATAACCTTGTTAGGGCACTTAAGGGGCTGATAGGTGGGAGTTGTGATTTGTTAATAAGTACCATGAACCTCCAAGTAACCCTAAACCCTAAACCGTTGATCCCCGAAGCTTGGGCTGTTCCCCCTTCTGTGAACACAGTCCCTAATAGGGATTCTAGTACCCCTATTGCAATCCCTATGAAGGACCGTTAGTGTAAGGGGTAAACATCCCAAGTCTTAGGGTTTAGGGTTTTGGGTTTTGGGTTTAAAGGGCCCTGCCTTCAACCGTCTTCAACCCAAGTCCTTTGCACACCCTCAATCCTGTACACCCTCAACCCTCAGCCCCCAACTCTTCATGCAGAAGCGACAATAGGTTGTGCTTATGCACGACATGTTACAGGGCCTAGTGCTCAAGTGCCCCTAAACCCTCAAGCCTACTGTGCCTGGGCCCATTACTATCCCCAAGGTCTGGCGTGCCCCCGCTCGAAGCGATTCCTGAAGCGCTGTTGGCCAAGGCTGCTTTAGGGTTTAGGGTTTAGGGTTCAGGCTTCCAGGGGTTTAGGGTTTAGAGGGCTTAGAGGAGCTTTATGCGTTAAAGGTGGTTTGTGTTTAGGCTTTTAGGCTATAGGGCTTAGGGTTTTGGGGCGTTGGGGCCTTTGGCGCTAAGCAGGTTCGTCAGCTTCGTCTTTAAAAGCTGTGCCGCCAAGACTAAAAAGAGTGGACATGCTCTGAGTCCATGTTGGCACTCCCTATTGTCGTACGTGGATTTTCAAGATCAGGGAATCTTTTAGGGTTTGGGGTTTAGGGTTTAGGGTTTAGGGTTTAGGGGTCCTTAAGGGAAAGGGCACGTGCTATATTTGGGGCAAGGGCTACGTACCCATGCGGATGCACACGCCTGACGGCTTAGCATCGCGAGCGGAACTACAACCCTTTGAAACACATGAGGGTGGCTGTAACTTAGGGCACCATTTGAAGGACCCTCTTTATAAATTTGCTTTGCAGACCCCCCCGACCCCGAGTACAGTTTTCTCAGGAACCAAGGACCTTTTCCCCACAGAAGCTGTAGAACCCTTTCTAGCTGGACTGGAGCAAGTTGTCCCGATTGCGAGAAAGAGTTCCCCAACTCCCAACACCACCAGTTTCTTAATCCTGAAAGCCCCGTAAACTTACCCTAAGCCCTCAACCCTGAAATCCTGAGCCCCTAAAACTCCAAAACCCTAAGCCCTCAGCGCTGAACCCCGAAACCCCCTACGTAGGCCCTCGGCCCTTAACCCCAATATGATTCCTATGCCAGTCCGTCCCTGGTCGTCGCCCGGACGAGTGCCTTGAATGAGCACAGCGTTCCCTATAAGCCCTAATCCCTAGACCCTTTTTTGGGAGCAGGGTTTTTGGGTTTAGTGTTTGAGGCTTAGGAATCCAAAGCCCTGAATTTGTTCTTTGATCAACGGCTTTCGGAGTTGTGCAATGCAGGACCGTGCACAGTCCGTACCGTTTGCTAGCAGCCCCCATAAAGTTCATGGTTGAGGGGTCAGGGCTCAGAGTCCTACTGACCCCAAGCCCTAAACCCTAAACCCTAAACCCCAGCTATGGCTAGAATTGCAGCCCTGTGACCCGGTCGAGAGACCCAGGCTCCAATGAGCCAATGCGCGAGATTTCTTCGAGACCCTGGCAGTCAAAAACCTATAAACCCTAAATGCCAAGTCCCAAATAAACCCTAAACCCTAAACCCTAAACCCTAAACCCTAAACCCTAAACCCTAAACCCTAAACCCTAAACCCTAAACCCTAAACCCTAAACCCCAAGCCCAAGTCCCCAAACCCTGCCCCCCCAAACGAAAAGACTCATGCCCTTGAAAGCTGGGCTTCCTAGCGGAAGATTCGTCAGCCTTGAATGCACGCAGGCCCCACAGGATAATGAGTGGAAGCAACCGTGCCTGGCCCAGCAGAGTGGGAATGCAAAACGCTAATACTAAAACCCTAGAAGCGCTCAACTCTAACCCCTCGACGTAAACCCTAAACCCTAAACCGTAAGCCCTAAGCCCTAAGCCCTCAACCCTAACCCCTCAACCCCCAAAGAGAAGCCGCGAGCTCTCAGGTCACAGGCCTGGTACTCCTTCTGGCGCTGTCCCCAGCTGACTTTCCACCCCTAAACCCTAAACCCTAAACCCCAAACATCAGATCGTAAACGCTCTAAACCCCAAACCCTCATTACACCCTGCAGCCTCAACCCTAATATGAACTCCTATGCAAGGCTCTCCGTTGGAGGATGCCTAGGTTGAGACTACGTTCGGACCATGACCACATATTTCGGAAACAGGGCTGTAGCGGCGGGTTCATAGCAGGGTAACCCTAAAACCTAAAGCCTACACCCCAAACCCCATCCCTAAACCCTAAAAGGCTTCAAGGCCTGAGAGCATGCAGTTCAAGTTTTAAGTGTTGCTGAATGTCTAATGAACGGGGAGGGTTTCACGGGGAGGGTTTCACTTCGCCCGTGCGAAAACCCGTAGGGTTTAGGGTTTAGGGTTCAGGGTCTAGGGTTTAGGGTTTACCCTAATCCCTACTAAGGGCTTAGGGTTTAGGGTGAGGGTGTTGGAGGCAGCATGGCGGTTCGGCCATCCATCTGCAATTCCCCCCCCCCCCCACCCTCAACAAACAACAAGAATCCCTAAACCCGAATCCCTGAACCCTTAACTTCACCCTAAACCCTAAATCCTAAACCCTAAACCCTGCGCCCTAAGCCCACTACCCCAGCTAGCACGACCCTTAAAACTTTGTGCATGCTCAACTCCCCGAAGTACTCGAGCCTCGCACCCTGCAGCTCCATCTCCACTCCCTATATAGTTTAAGAATCAGTAGATATGTAATGTTATATGATATTACTTCTTTCTTTGTTCATTTATAATGTATGTATTTTATATGTACTCAGGGCTCACGCACAAGCCCTACTTGGAGGTTCATGGTACTTAGTAACTGATTATAACTGTACTTATAACTGTACTTATAACCATAATAGGGCACTTAAGTGGCTTGTAAGTGGGCTTATAAGTACAATCATAATTAGTTACTAAGTACCACGAACCTCCAAGTAAAGCCTAACTTTTGCATTCTGCGCTTGTGGTT